TATAATACCCTCGCGATGGCGTCGGCCATCTTCTTTCTCGATCTCAAGGGCAAGGTATGAAACCCCCGTGGAGGTTGCGCTGTCACGAACAATTCCGCCGTGATCCCCTGGAACCTGACCGTTTATTTAGACCCTTCTAGCCCGAAACTACCGCGGAGACATCCCCATGTCCGCCGTCGAGAAATTCCCCATCCTCCTCAGTGACGCCGAAGAAGAGAGCTCCGCCGTGGCTCCGTGCTTTTCCCACGAAGGAATTAACGTACGTATTTGTATCCTCCGACTTGTGGCTGCGGCGGCGCACCTGCATCTACCCCCCGCCGTTCCCCGCAACCCGCTGTGTCTACCATCTCCCACATCAGCCCTGCGCGCATACTCAGAAAGGAACGCAGAATAAAGGAGATCAATTGCTGAGAATACTACCTTGTCTAGTACCTCTACATCCGTCACAGCAACCTTTACATTCTTGCCCTGACCAAGAAGAACACCAATGCCACCGAGATCCTCCTTTTCCTACACAAGATCGTGGAGGTATTCACGGAATACTTCAAGGTACTGGAGGAGGAGAGTATCCGCGATAACTTTGTCATCATTTACGAATTGCTCGATGAGATGATGGACTTTGGCTACCCGCAGACGACGGAGAGCAAGATATTGCAAGAGTAAGATGGGCCCGTCTATGCGACCAGGAGTGATGGAGGATCACAGCTAACGAGTCCACGGCAGATACATTACCCAAGAATCACACAAGCTGGAGATCCAAGCCCGACCACCCATTGCTGTCACCAATGCCGTGTCATGGCGAAGTGAGGGTATCCGGTACCGCAAGAACGAAGTCTTCCTTGATGTTGTGGAGTCCCTTAACCTCCTCGTGTCCGCGTCTGGTAACGTGTTGCGATCGGAGATTCTCGGAGCTATCAAGATGAAGTGTTATCTGAGTGGTATGCCGGAACTTCGTCTGGGTTTGAACGACAAGGTCATGTTCGAGACCACGGGTCGCGCAACGAGAGGAAAGGCCGTCGAGATGGAGGACGTCAAGTTCCACCAGTGTGTCCGTCTTTCTCGGTTCGAGAATGACCGCACCATCAGCTTCATTCCCCCGGATGGCGAATTCGAGCTGATGAGCTACCGGTTGAACACCCAAGTCAAGCCCCTGATTTGGGTGGAATGTCTGGTGGAATCGCACTCTGGATCGCGCATGGAGTACATGTTGAAGGTACGGCCAACACCCCGCCTTTACTACTCAAGAGAAACAAAACGACCAAGCTAACACCATCTCTCCCCAACAGGCCAAGGCCCAATTCAAGCGCCGCAGCACTGCCAACAACGTAGAAATCCTCGTCCCAGTCCCAGAAGACGCCGACTCACCCCGTTTCCGCACCAACATCGGAACCGTGCACTACGCGCCCGAGAAGTCTGCCATCATCTGGAAGATCAAGCAGTTCGGCGGAGGCAAGGAGTTCCTCATGCGCGCAGAGCTGGGTCTGCCGTCCGTAAAGGGCGACGACGAGCACGGTGGTGGCATGACCGGTGGTTTCGGAGGTAGTATGGGTGGAACCGGGCAGGGCAAGGCAAAGCGGCCGATCAACGTCAAATTCGAAATCCCTTACTTCACTACTAGCGGTATCCAAGTCCGGTACTTGAAGATCACGGAACCTAAGGTATGTCCATTTATCCCATGTCAACTCTCGTGACCCCCCCATCATCAGTCGGATTAGCAGTCTCGTCACACAAGCACAATGCAATGAAATGAATGAGCAAAGCTAACGAATGACCCGATGAATGCAGCTACAATACCCCTCCCTCCCATGGGTGCGATATATAACACAATCAGGCGACATTGCTGTCCGCATGCCAGATGTACAATGATGTAAAGCGTTTCTTTCTTTCTTTTTTTTTTTTTCTATATCTTTTCTTCTCTAGTTTTCATTCAATAGATATACTTTCTTCCCTTTTTTTGCATCAAGCATGGATCATCTATCTATTGATGGAGTGTACTCCTTGTACAGATGGGTTCACTGGCACATGATCATCGGGCAATTTGATAGTAGGAGGAATGTTGCAAGAAGTAGTCCTCTCTTGGCCTCAGGCAACGTGAACGTGACATGATATACCACAAAAACCTCGCCATTGCCTTATAATTATGCACTTAGTGAGTACTATTAATGCCTAGATCACGGGACTGGAACCAATTGAAGGGAACGACCCAAATTTACTATTTCAATACTTTGTATTTACTGTTGCTACTTAGTAGTATATACCATGGTTCCATGTTACTGCATCATTTATAATATATTGCATTTTTATTCCGCGGTTCCCGGTCTCTTACATCCTCGTCTTCTTCTTCTTTCTTCATCTTTTTCTTTTTCCAACATATAGACGCAATGACCATGTAATATAGAACCAATAGATATGGACTGAGAATAATTTGTGAGAAACAAGTACATCAATGAGCAGGTGAGTGAGTGAGTGGAGACAGTCATAAGGAAATGAAGACAATAACTTTTTTTACCAGCCGTGGAACATAAGGACCAGCATGTTACAAATAGTAATAAATGTATGGATCCAGATGAGAAAGATCGATATGGTATGATATGATATGATATGGAGAGTCTGAAAGTGCGAGAGAGAGAAGAAAGAACAGTATACATACATATAGAATGCCATGCATGCTAAGTAGGGTATCTTTGTCTTTAAATGAAACAGATTTGTTTTGGTTCTGCATTACGTACTTACTCACACATTTCTTCTGCTCATAGCTTTCGTAGGTTAGAATGCCGTATAGGCGACGCTGGCTAATAGGTAATTGGTTCGTTGGGTGCAGTGAAGTGAGATGCTGTTTTGCGTTTCTTTTTCGTCATAAGGCGTACGGGTCCGTTTTCCCTTTCATATTTGGTGGAGTGCTTGGCTGATTTGAGGGATGGCCGGTGGCGGCCGGTCGAGGAGTCAAATCAATGGGTCCCGTTGCTGTTGTCCGGGGATTCAGCCGCAGGGAGGGGAAATCCGTCCCCGTGACCGGTTGCGGCGGCTTTGGAGAAGCCCTCTCGAGCTAGCATGGTGTTTAGGACGGCGCAATTGTAGGCTGCCTCGCCCGGCGGTACAACTAGGAAAATGTATGTATTGTCCGTGAAACGGCCGAGGAAGACATTGAATTGCGGAGTCTTCGTGTGCATGACGACGAACCCGGCAGATGCAGGGGTTGTGTGGGTGTTCCGCGCCGCACAGTGCTTGAAGGCTTTCATAATGTTGGAGAGTCGTTCATGGCGATCATAGATGGGGTTCAAGTCGCCTACTTCTGAGGAAACGGAAGTTACGGTGAGGAAGGTTGACCGTTCGAACAGAATGACTTCTTCGGCATCAATTCGCTTGGAGAAGGCTTGCAGGAAGCGCTCGATGACAGTCAAGTTTGGAATAAGCTTGTGGACAATGCCGGCCCACGCTTTGTAGAGCGATTGATCCCAAATACTACTGCCAAAGGTGTCGATGCTGAAATGCTCCGAACGACTGCGAATTAAGGCGGACCGTTCTTCGTAGATGCGTTGGCGGTGCTCGGCTTGGATGAGATCCAGTTTATGTACAAGGCAGAACACGTAGGCATTGGGACTGTATTCTTTCAGGGCGTTGATGATGGCGTTGTAGGTGTCAAGATCGCGCTCGACCTCGCGGGATTCAATGTCGAAGACATAGATCAGGACCGCGACGTCGGAGAAGATGTTCCCGCGCTGAGACGCGAGATATGTTTCCATGAATGCATCCTGTCTGTTTATGGTAGAAGAGCATTTCGGGTTAGACACTGCAATGATTCGAGAAATGCCTGAGACTGCGACTTACCCTCCGCAATCCCAGAGGTTCAGCGTGAGGTTCCCCATGAACTTGACATGGCTGTGCTCGACATCAATGGTAGCACCCAGGCGTCGGACATCTTTCGCAACATAATTGCTGAAGATGATTGAGCGCATCGACGATTTTCCAGATCCACTTTTGCCCATCAAGAGGACCTTTCTCTTCTTCTTGCGCATATCCATTGTGGCAGTTCCCCGGAGCTATCCGTTAACCGTACCCCGCACTTACGGGGCTGGTGATCGTTCAGATGGATGGCAACCGTGAAGAGATGTGGGATTTAGCATCCGCATAAATACCTCCAGCCCATGGGATGCAGTAGGACCCTGCAAGTCGAGGGAGGTAACGATCTCCACAGGCAATGAATGGGCGAGGGTGGTTGGTTGGACAGAAGGAGCAGCAGCAGCCGGATGACCAGCCTTCCGGGCGTCATTGCATGAGCTTCTTCCCCGGGATTAATAATATTCCGGTCCCATCACGTGGAGAGCGCACGGTCCACACAGGGCTGCTGACATTGAAGGTGGATGGGATGCAGAGTGCACGGTCAGTGATGCGAGTAATGTATTGTCCCTCTCACCGAACTGTCCATCTCCTTCCCCCCTGCCTTGGAAATTGTCCACGGAGGTGGCGTTCATCCACATTCCTCCCATGTGCCTCCATTGTTATTAGACTTTCTGCACGGAAGGGGGGTTTGCCAATCATCAGGCTCCACTTCATCCATAGTGGATTAACTAGAACCAAAACATTATCAAACTAGCAAAGACACTATCCCCATTATAATTCCTTTTCCAAGGATAATAGTCAGGATTGAGACTGCTGGCGGAAAGACTAATCCCAGCCAGGTAAACTTTTATGATCACATTTCCATCCAAATATAGGCAAGAAGGTAAAAAGGGCCCAAGGAACTGTGTACAGGAAAGGTAGACGATCATCACTTCACGATGACCCTACAGAAGAAATTAGGTATAAAGTCGGCCAGGTGCCGCAGCAGAGACCTTTGTACAAGACGAACAGAAAAAAAAGGGGTAGCCACAGGCGATGGGCACGAAAGTAGTAAGACGCATAAACATCCGGTCATCAAAGTCGTAAGCACGACCACCAGCCGTGGAACGGGCGTCGACTGGCGGTGTCAGGTATCCAAAACATCAACAGATATGCGATCATTAGAAAACAGTGCCATCGGAACGGATCATGATCGGAGGTTCTTTCGTGTTGGGTCTCGACACTTCAGCAATCTCACGGCCACCCTGTTACTTCTGCATCAGCAAATGTCGCCCACGTAAAACAATGAGTGCAGGGATAAAATTATCACATACCTTCCAGGATCCAGCCTCAAGCATCTGTGCAAGGGTCAACTGATCGTCTCCCGTCAGTCCAAGCTGACCGTTCACTTCATCCAGTAGCTCATCCAGGAACCCAACGGTCACAGCCCGCCATTCAACGACAACGTCGTCATCCGTGGAGAAGAGTGGTACAACCTCCACGTTTGGTTGGCCCTTGATCTGCGCATTCTCCTTGTAGGCGGCAATACCCCGCTCCAAATCGTGTTCTTTCAGAGTCAACAGACCCATGTCAATCAGCAAACCACCGTTCCGGTATTCGGGTAGACCCGTGAGCAGTTCACTGCCGGCGAAATGGATCTTCATCAGCTTCGACATGGGCACCATGATAGAGTAGCACAGCCACTGCGTAAGCTTGTGGAATGGGACGATGCTCTCCCAGGGTTTCGCAGGGGGGGACTTGGGGAGATCGGAGCACGGCCAGGCGTCTCCGATAGACAGCCCATCAATCTGTGTGCGGGATGGCGGCCAGATCGGAGACAATCCATCCATAAGGACACTCCAGAGCGTGGTGATAGGCACAATTGGAACCGACGAAGCAAGTGTAGACGGATGAGAAAGGAGGTAGTCTAACGATGTTATGTTAGTCGAGATCCCAGCGACCCTTCATCGAATAAAGCCTTACCGAGCATGTTGCCTGGCCTAGCATCTACCCCAAAGAAATCTTGGTTGTTCAGGGCCTCGGAAAGTCGGATCAGAAGACCAGCTCGGCCTTCAATTCCCGCCAAGGGGTTGGTTTCGGAGTGTTGCATTCCCTTTGCGAGTACTTCGACCGTGATCTTCTTCAGGCCTGCCCCATCCACTTGACAAGGCTCCGTCGGATCGCTGCTGAACAAACCACTCTTAAACATTTCCAAGGTGGCCACGGCCAGACCCTCGCTCCGCGAATAGATCTTGCCGGACTCCTTCGACTTGTATGACCACCTGGTACCTGCACCAGCATCGAGAAGGACGGAAACAACGAAAAGGTCGATCAATCGCCGGGTGCGCTCCTGCGCATCAATGGTACTGGGCCAGGACTGGAGCAATTGGTTAACGCGGGGTCGTCCACCCACGTCGAAGTGTTGCCAACGGCCATGAGGAGGAATGGAGTCGTAGTCCGGGCCATAATCTCTCTGCAAACGAAAGCTCTAATTAGCAAACCTGAGAGGGAATAGAGGGACTGGCTAAATTTTTGGCCGAGAGGGCTGCAGCATGTAGTATGTACCTTGATAATGGAGACAATGTAAGATGCAGTGGCCATGAATTTGCCCATATCCACATCAAAGTGGTTGAGTCTATTTCTCTTGGCCTTATTCAAAACAAGGCTGCAGCGCTCACGGACAGCATGGATACTCCGCAGGTAGGCCGCTGGATCGAGGGCCGGATCAGGTGGTTTGGCGATGGGTAGTTCTGGGATGGAGGCAGGCAGCCCACTTCCTTTATAACCGGGCGATCTCAATGATGCATTGGAGGTACGAGCACTGTTGACGGTTACGGTCGAGTCGAAATCCTCCTTCTCGCTTTGAATCGAGTTCTTAGAGTCTTTGCGCTTAAAGAGACCCATGGTGACGGGGAGGGGTCAATGGTAGAGACGGAGAGTGAAACACAACAAACGCTCCCTAGCACTCAGGGGGAAGAAAGAACACTTGTTCGTGCCAGGGGATTGACAGTGAGGTGGAACACTCGAGGAGGGAAGGGAAGGGAAAAAAAGAAAGACAGATGAGAGGCCCTGGTGCCAGAAGAAAGCAGACCGGAAAAATGGACACCAGAGGGGAAAAGGTACATAAAAGGATGGTGATCTGCGGCAGTTGCGGGAGACTCGAAGAAGAAAAAGAAGAGAAGAGGCCCTGGTGGGTGGTGACTTTCGGTTTTGACTCTTTAGTCTGACTCTTCTCTCTCTTTTTTTAATTTTCTGTTTGTTATTATTTTTATTTTTTCTACCTTCTGTAATTTTTTGGGGCCTTTTCAATTCCTTTGGGCTTAAAACTTTTTTTTTTTTCTTTACAGCATGGAGGGACAAATAATACTAATAATAAGGACGAGAAATAATAATAACAGGAATAATACGGGGCGGGGCGGCCGAGTGAGCTTAGGAGGAGTTAGGAAAGGTTAGGAGTTAGTAGCCCAACTAGCAAGACATCATTGGAGCGAAAAGGAGTGGTCCGTAGCCACTGGACCTTCACGGAGCATACACCCAGTGAACTAGTCGAGCCCTCGGAGTCGGGAGGTGGAGAGCTTGAGGGGGGCAGAGGTCTTGTCGGAAAGGCTCCAGTTCGATGTTAAAAAAGGGTGCATGGCGGGTTGGCCGATTTAGCGTTCTGATAGGAACCGATTCGTACCATTGTTTACCGTTCCCACGGTCGTGAACACTACTGGAAATGTAGTCGGTTGAAAAGAACTTAACTTTCCACCAGTACCTGGTATTTACTGGGTAGTAAAGTAAGTAAGTAGTCCCTGTCAGGTACAAAGTAACAGGAGACAGAAGAACGACATGGGGCCAATAGTAAACATGTATAACTGGCAACATATTGGTCTAAAGCAAATGATTCCAAAAAAGGTACAGATAGGCTACAGAATTCGACCATCCCATGCCTAGGTAGTTAGTACTTAGTATCTAAGGGCAGTCAGTCCGTCCCCTCAAGGGGAGAAAGGGCCAAACTCAGGGCCAAGGGACCAAGACTACCGCGGAGTATTCAGTCCGCGGCGCAAGACGCCAGTGATGAGGTCAGAGATTATCAGACCAGTTGGAAGAGTGGAAGATAGATACATCTAACTAGTCAATGTCTGATGTGCCCTAAGTATGTAGGTGCATGATGGTGCATGCATGATAAACCCAACCCGACCCATCCATACGCGCGCATTACCATACGTACCGCACGGTACCAGACCGGTACCTGGTCCCGGTGATGGTGGGGGAGGGAGCCCATAACTGGCCCCGTGTCTGGTAAAGTGCAAATTTCCCAGAATGGAGCAGTTTCCAACGGGTCTTGGACGACGACTACTTTAGCACCTCCCCCTAAACTCATCACCCATCAACTTCCTCCTCGGTGCTACGGCCGACCAAGGGATGCTGTGTCCAGATCGATGGAACCAATGGAAAAATAGGTTAAATTAGCGAGGACCAAAAAAGAAAAAGAGGAGTACAGGGGAGCACAGACAAGCCTGCGCACAAGGCTATACGTACCAGGTTCATTTGCTCTCCCCCTCTCCTCCTCGCCCCGACACGGCGGATCTAGCAGGCTGTTAGTCACTCTGCGCCTCCAGAATTTCACCGAATCGGGACATGTCCCTCCCATGGAACCATGGCTCCTTCACCTGTAGTCCAAAGATAGAGGGGAAGAGAAACCAAGATATGACTCGAATCAATGCTAACGAAGGCGCCAGGTAGATAGATAGGATATACCCCATCCACATTTGTGAATTATTGACCGAGCGCCGACCCCTCCTCCCCTTGGCAACCTAGGTCAGTGGCGGGTATCAGTCAAGCTCTCCACCTTCTTCAATGTCCACTCCTAGCTAGCTATCTTCTATCGAAGTGCACTGTACTCGGCACAATTGTGGTAATGGTGTGCAGGGCCAATAGTCACTGCCCAGGCGCAATGTTGGCTGCTATAGTGCGATGCTCCCGCTTATCTGGGGAATATCTCCGATCTGATGGCGTGTGACTCGTGATTCCTTTTTACTTCAGGGGTGGTGAGCTTATGCCGCATCTATCTAGCTACTATCACCCCATATTGACTATAGCCGCGGCATAGTCTACCTTATACGTACATGTCGATGTTTCACTTTAGGAGGAAATAGCCTGGCTGCAGCCTTGCCTCCATATCGTTCTGCTTTGCTAACGCAATCCTGATCCACAGGCGGTGGCAAATTCGTAGAGAGACGGAGAGGCGATTGAAACTAAAGTGTAGATAGTGTTCACATTGTCAATTGCCCTGGTAATTGCTATATTTGGCTTCTTGTTCGATGCCACGTATAGGTGCTAAGTATGGAAGGTGTTTAGTAAAGTATAGTCAGGCTACTTACTGCTGCGCCACAACAGTGGAATCGGGTGTCGTGAAGCATATAGTTTGAAGAATCATTGAGATGTACAAGGTTAGTGGTCAATGACAGTATGACTGTTTCTGTCAGATAACCGTCTCGTGCCTTTTCCAACAGATGTGGTAGTCAGACTGTAGCTGGGGCGTTATGACTGTTGGTGACCCTATAGTGCACAACTGGAGAACTGAAGATCCCAACACGAGCCGAAGGCCGATCATGCTTCAGGTAGAAAATCACCTAATAGTGCCAATCGCGCTGCAGTTGACAAGACTTTGTCTCGGCACCTACTACCACCCACAACATCCGGCATTCGCAATTGTGCAAGAATAGAGCAGAGCCAGCAGTATGCGAAGAATTGGCCCTTTGTGAGATCGGCAACCCTATTTCCATCAAGTGTGCGACTCCCGAAAGGAAGGGAAGTAGCCGATACGCGCATTTATGGTTCAAGTGGACCTTGGTTTGAATCGTACGCGGGCACGCAACTATTGCCGTGTCGATCTCAATCCGGCAGGATCGTCCACACCAGAATATTCGAACTAGTAGCGAATAAGTTGACGGAAAATAATTTCTAGTCCCTCTGAACTTCTGAAGCATGTCAGGTGCAGAATGTAATATTAGTTGGGTTGGAGACGATCGCAAAGAAGTAACCGTGGCCAGGAAGTGCCGCAGGTCTGCGATACGTTTCATAAAGTGTGAAAATACTAAACCTCCAGGTCGTTCGTAACAGGTTGGTTTTACCAACACGGCGATTTCACATGGGTCACTTCCGATGAGGTTTGTAGCCCAATACCTATAGGTTGCTTTTTTATAGCTACCCGCATGTCATCTTTGCTTTTGTAGAACACATTGGTCGGATGCGAGGGCGCTAGGGCGGGATAATGTTTCTTGAGCTTCGCGCTCGTGTTGAGCCCACTTTCCGACAACCCTAATGAAATTGTGCAGAGCGGGATGATGATCATTGATAGCAGTAGGTAGTAATATCATGATGGAGAAGACTGACTGGGCTCGGATGCCTTACACAGTCGATGGGACACCCTACAGAACAGGAAGCAGCAGCCGGTTTGAATACCTTCTTAGATCTATGGAGCTTTTCAGAAAACAAGTGAAACATTCCTATGAGACATGGACTGGGCCTAACTACAAACATTATCTACATGCTACTACTATTTAGAATACAGTAGTCCTACCGCCTAAAAACCTCCTTTGACAGCTCTTGGATGCGTGCTGGATATAGGCATAGATTTGTCGATCATGCATGCCCATGGTGTCGCGTGAGAAAAATGAATACGTAGTGTTGGACTGCAAGTGTTGAATCCTAAGGATCCTCACATGTATTCCTTCGAGTTGATCTTTTATCGTACCCTCTCGTGAAGAAGTAGCAGGGCGGAGATGTGGCTCACACCACCATTTGTAATTTGAGTTCAGCCGGAAGAATCCTCTTAAAGTTCGGCTTCTTGCCCCTCCAAAAGCCTCCGTATCCCCGGGTGTCGCACATCTGCGGTCATTCAGTAGAGGATGTTGTCAAGAGCGACCGTGTCTGGCTTGAGTAAGATTGCCTTTATACTAAGGTAAGGTATATACCGTGGCGTCATTTAAAATTACTGTTACTGTTACCGTTTCAGACGGCAAAGAACAGCAGCTGGCGACTGGCACATGTACTGGGGTTCTTTGGTTGATGAACTCTGCAGCTAGGCGAACCCCAGAGTTGTCGAAGCCTTGTAGGTATATTACCTGATCTTATGACTGTCCCATCCAGGTCATTGTGGCCCCCAATGGCCTTGCTATTGATAATGAATATTACATTTCACGGTTGGAGTGGATCCAGAGCAGAGTAGAGTTATTATCGCGAGAGCTGCATGTGTCGTTCAGGAAAGCACTGGTGCCAACTTAGGATACAGTAAGTGGGAAGTGTCGCCAAACTTTGGGGTTCCTCCGATATAGGCAAGGTGTGCTTACTAGCCATAGGCATTTTCAGAGTACTGCTCGGTACTGGGAAATAATATCGTATGATACTGATAGTGCTAATTGGAGAAGCTTGTGTGTATTTGGAAAGATTATATCCGAACGACTCCGCGCACCCTGTACTTTTGGGAGGATAGGAAAGAAGAAAACCCTTGTATTAGTCGATATGCACAGTTGCTGCAAGCCCCTCCCACCTTCCCCTCCAAAAATGACAAATGTCAATGCACTGGCGTACCCGCTAACGCGGAAAACACGGCCCTGGCCATACTGCTGGGTCGCCCGGGTTTCAGGTTTAACGTTCCGGGTATTTTAATTTCGCGGCGTAATCGAGGCATTGACAACATGATCATTGTGATATAACCACATCTGAAGAGAGCAAGAAATCACTCATCCATCGCGAGTGTTTTAACTTCGTCAGGAGACAGAAAGACCCGGAGTAATCCGAGCTCTTACAATTGGGTCCGGAGAGGTCCAACAAATTGGCCCGTAATCTCAACGGCGGCTACTGGTAAGAGACCCGATGCTAGTTGAAGCGACTGACATGACTCCTTAGTGCGACTA